TTATCTAATTATTACCTTTACATAGAAAATCGAGAATAATTACCAAAACAATCTCTTTCGAAGAACACATATAAATAAAGAGAATTAATTTATGATATCATATTTTGTATAATTAGACCATTCAACAAAGAACCAAAGTTTTTCAGTCAAATGCTTAAACCCTTATCAACCCAAATTGGTACATATATGGTGGGTTAACTCTAACAATTTCATACTAAATTTAAACCCAAAATCAGTCCTAAACTCTAAATCTATAATCTAGGATTTGTACTAAGGGATTTTATAATTGATGGTTTACATGTATGCATAAACTACGACAAAGAAATTGGTACAAAATACCTAAAAGAAGTTTGAAGAGCTTTTATATATGTATATATATGTATATATATACACATATAATATATATATATATATAAAGTGGACCCCAAAACTCGGTCCAACCCCGCTTAAAAAAATGGGTTTGGGCTTAATTATAGAAAAAAATTTGGTTTTCGGGTCGGACTGTGATGACATGTATATATTGATATATTTTCGTATAATAAATATATTATGTTTCGTGAAATTTATATATATATATATATATATATATATATATATATAAACGTTATTTTGTATAGTTTTACACCGATTTCGATGTTTTCGATATTTGGCAGGAAAAATGAAGATTCAAACGTAAGCGCTGCATTTTCGAGAGAAACAGACAAAAATGAGTGAACAAGGAGATATATATATTCGTATGTAAACGTGTGTATATACTTATAGTTTGTATATATATTATCGGTTGAATATATATAGTATATATGTACTATATATAAATGTATGTATATCTACATATGCATGCGAATATTTGTATACGTATATAATTATATGTAGTGTGTGTATATATAAATATATATTTTATATTTTATATATAAGTGATACGTGTCTGTATATAATATGTATATAATATGCATATATATTAATAAGGGTACAAGAAGGTCATATCTAGATAACCATGTGCATGCATATGATATGTGTATATATGTACAGTATGTATATATATTAATAAATATATATATGTGCGTGTATGCATATTATAGTATATGTATATATATCTATATATGTATAAAGAAGGAGCAAACAATCGTGCATGTATATATAATATATATAGAATAAAAATAATAATAAAAATAATAAAAAGAGAAAGAAGAGAAGAAGATAACTCTCATGAGACAAAGCCATCTCCCCCTTTTGTTTTTGTGTCCTCGAATGATGTGCGACAACTTTTCCATGAATGGTGGCACTCACACAACAAGGAGAATGACAACCTTTTTCTCGGGGATCTCTTCATAAGGAAGGAGAGTTCTCAGACAAGGGGGGAGGCAGATTTAGAGAGTTCGCAAAAAGAGTAGAGTTTGAAAAAAAAAATTCTCAAGGAGAGTTCACGGAGAAAGAGAAGAAAAGAGGAAGAAGAAAAACATCATGCCGCAATCACTGAGCATTCTTTTCTCTTATCTCTTTTTCATCATGAATTTTTATTGGGTTGATGTTGTTATTTTTATTTCTATCATGTGTGAATAAGTTTTCATTGTAGGTTAGGGATTAAAAAGGGTTATGTAAAATTGTGCGCTTAAATTATTTTGAGACTTTGTTAATTACGGTTTAGATTGAATGAATGGATTTTAATGCTATGAATTATGTTGGCCACATAATTAAATGATTTTAGAATTTAATTTTGCATAGAGATATGAACATTAAATTCAGAAATTATTCATTCACTTAAACGATCCTCACATCGAGAGGGTTGCCTCGTTTAGGAATTATGATAGAATACTTAATGATCTTGAGAATTTTAGTTTACTTGAAACCGAGAGTTCGGTAAATTTTTATTCTTGGGAAATGAGGAGATACTCGAAAGAGTAATCCTCTACAAGCTGAACTTGAATTTCCTAACTGTAACCTAAGTTATCAAGATACATCATTTGATCAAATTCTTACATAACCCGAAAAATTCCGAAATCTACAATGTCTTACTTCAATTGTGTTAAACCCGTTGTTAGCATTTTCATTAATTTAAATATAATTGTCATCACCACCAATCAAATTATCGTCCCGATCGATACCGAATAAATTCTAGAATTGTCGTTGCAAAAGCCCTTGTGTCCTTGTGTTAGATCCTAGATACTACGATTGACCCGTGCACTTACGATAGTTGTGTCTAGGAAATAAAACAAGATTAGATCTTACCCTAGATCGACATAGTTTTTGGTGTCGTTGCCGGGGACGCAAAGCGGCTTTAGCGATACGATTAGGAAACTGTTCGGTTTAGGTCATTTTTTTTCTTCCTTTGTTCAGTCTGATCTTCACCTTTTCTCGTTGTTGCTCCATCCGTTTTGTATGCAGGATTTCTCCAGTGTCTGACAAGGAGTGCTGGGTTAGAAAACCTAGTTCCTTTCGGCCCTGAAATCGAGAAAACTGCTAAACAAAACCGAAAACAACATCGAGTGAGGATGGCAGAACACGACGTTGTACCCGTACCCGGAGATGTGCATGTAAATGAAGAAACATTCGCGCAGTACAATGCTCCCAAACACACTGAGCTCATGTCCGGCATACGGATGCCAGAGGTTGACATGACAAGATTCGAGCTCACTCCCGCCACTATCCAAATGTTGAGCGCCATGGCTTTCCGGGGAGGCCAAACGAAGATCCCAATGCACACCTCACGAGGTTCAAGATGATGTGTCGATCCATCAAGAGAGCCGATCAAATAACCGAAGATGCAATCCGTCTAATCGCTTTCCCGTGAACGTTGATCGACGCAGCGCTCAACTGGCTCTATGAACTCGAACCGGATTCCATTCATACATGGGATCAATTAGAGAGCCAGTTCATGCAACGCTTCTCCTCTCCACACCACACTCAAGCCGCCTTAAACAGTATTCACTCGTTCAAGCAAGATCACGGGGAGAGTCTGCACGAAGCGTGAAAAAGATACAAGGGCTACAAAAAATCATGCCCTCACCACGGCATCGACAAGAATTACCTGATTAACACGTTCATCAGAGGTCTACAACCAGATACCCGGACATTGATCCGAGCCGTACGTGGAGGAAGTATTTCTCACATGTCCTTCACGGATCTTGAACAACACATTGATCAAATGGCAAGAGAAGAAGATTCTCCATTGGAGTCCGTAAGAGACTTGCCCACCACGCTAAAGACGAAACTTGCTAATGCAAGTTTTGTCTCATCCACTAGCACATCAAGCGTGCAGCAAAGCGAACTCGCTTTGTACTCTGTCGACGAAGGGATAGAAGATGTGAATTATGTTGCCAACAACCCTATTCCAACACGTATAATCCAGGGTATAGGAACCACCCGAATCTCTCCTGGAGGAACAACAACGTCCTGAACCCTCCGCAAAATAACTACCGACCAATGCAGAACCAGAACCAACGGATTCCGCCAAGGTTCTCTTTTTAGCCACGGCCCCACCGATGCAGAATCAAGGGCCGATTCAAAACCAACCATATAGACCTCCGGTTCAGAATTTTCGAGCATCCGCACCTCCACCGCCACAACAAGACTGTGACTTGAAGATCAAGGCAATATTAGCACAACTATTACAAGGACAAAAGACGCAAGAAACGGTGCTACATAGACTAAAGATGGACCAAGAAGAGGTAAAGAATCAAGCGGGGAGCATGCAGTCTCAAGTGGATGGAATGCAGTCGCATCTAAAATTACTCGACAATCAGGTTGCCCAGATGGCCTCGACGTCTCAAAGACCAAGCGGGTCACTTCCCGGGAAGCCTGAGATTAACCCACGATAGCACTGCAATGCTATCACCCTGAGAAGTGGCAAGCAGCTTGAAGAAGTCACTTCACCGATGATGGAAAAGGGGCAAAGCTCCAAAGGCAAAGAGGTCATGAATGAAGAAGCTGAGGAAGTCTATGTTCCTCCACCACCAAGACCTCCGCCCGTTCCTTCTCCATCCCGTCTCAAGAAGCATAACGAGGACTGGCAATTCGCGAGATTTTCCGAAATGCTGAAAAAGCTTGAGATCACCACGCCTTTCATAGAAGCCATCCTGCAGATGCCGTCTTACACGAAGTTTCTCAAGGACATACTCACGAAGAAGCGAGTCGTGGAAAAAGAGACGGTATCACTCAACACCGAATGCAGTGCATTAATTCAGCATGAGTTACCGCCTAAACGAGCCGACCCAGGAAGCTTCTCGATACCCTGCAAATTGGGTAATGTCTCCATTGACAGGGCATTATGTGATCTCGGAGCCAGTGTTAGCCTTCTCTCGCTATCGATCTTTAAGAAGCTGAACATGGGAGAGTTGAAGCCGACAAGGATGGCGCTCCAGCTTGTTGACTGATACACGCCTCAAACTACAAGGTGGAAGTCTCGATGGATTGATGGAACCGAAGATTAATCACCGGTACTCTCTTGGAGTCACTCGAACTCAATCTCGGTTTAAGAAGTGGTTTCGAAATGCAAATGGTATCTAGGGAAGATATGGACGAAGAATTGATAGCACAGATGATAGAAAGCTCAGACAAACCAAGGTTATCTTGTACACACCAAGATATAGCTCTCGGACAGACCAAGAGAGAAAGTCGGACAAACCGAAAGAGAGAGTTGTTTCAAACTCGAAAATACTTGATTAAATCTGGATAATTGCTGGTCAAAACAAAGGATTACAAGGTTTATATAGAATAGAAACTCAACCAAAACACAAATGAAAGAAACACATGCAAGGGGGATGGGAGCCTATGCATTTAATAAGGTAGGTGGGAAGAATAGAGCTGTTGGAGAAGTTGTTTGCACTCCAAGAAGCTTCCTTTTAGTGTCTTGACTAATCTTGGCCGAAATTAGGGTCTTGAGATGGAGAGGAGTTGAGTCTTGGCTGGTCCGATGGAAGGTAAGCTTGCATTCTTCGACTCAAGGGTCGTTTAAGACATGAGACGAACATGTTTAACGTGTTGTCGAACAGTACGTTGGGTTCGTTTAAGGCATGAGACGAACATGTTTGACGCATTGTCGAAGAGCTTGTGGTTTGGCTCGATTAAGGGGAAGTTTGAGCCGAGAATAAAGTGTACATCCTTCAGATTTGGTACAATCACTCATGACTTGTCTCGGACTATGATCTCCATGTGATAGGTTGGAATGTTATGCTCCGGTTGAACCCCTAGCTCCATGCAATCCGGTTGAGCTCCAAGTTTCGTGCATTCCAAGCTTTTGTTCATGCTCCCTTTCCAAGCAGCATCCAAGGTTCTGATATCCTCATCACTGATCGATCGGTGAAATATCCCGCTGGGATATTAGAAGATGTACCACTGAAGGTGAAAAACTTCTACGTACCGGTCGACTTCGTGGTATTGGACATGGACGAGGACTCGAGAGTATCGATCATACTTGGTCGTCCATTCCTTAACACCGTAGACGCAATCATCCATGTGAGAGGTGGCAGGTTGACGATGAAGATTGGCGATAAGACGGTGGAGTTTACGCTTGATCAGAACCTCAAGCAACCCTCTGTCATGGAGTCTTCGTACTTCATTGACATGATTGAAGTTTTGACGGATGAGCTATTTGGTCAATTGCAAGATCGCGATCCCCTGAAGATGATGCTCCTAAACCCTGAGAAGACTGAAAAGGAGCACATATGGACCTTTAGCCGAATCCTGGATGCACCCGACATATCCCCGACGGATCTATCAAGCTCCCCGGTTCAGGTTATCGTGTCCTTTGAGGGTGATGTCGATCTTGAGATCGCTGCCACTAACCGAGCCCATGAATCCAAAGAGACTCCAGTCATCACATCTTCTCCACTTAGACCCGACTGGAGTCGAGAAGATGCACCGGAAGTGGAACTGAAGCCCTTACCACAAGGGCTTACGTATGAATTTCTCGGCTCAGACCGAACTTACCCTATGATTATCAATTCATCCTTGGATGATTCTCAGGTACAGGAGCTGCTGAACACGCTCCGAAAGTACAGGAAGGACATAGGGTACACAATCACGGATATCAAGGGAATCAACCCTTCCCTTTGCATGCACAGGATTCATCTGGAGGATGAGTCCAAAACTTCCACTGAGCGTCAACGACGCCTCAACCCGATGCTTCAAAAAGTGGTGAAGAAAGAGATAATGAAGCTTCTCGATGCAGATATCATTTTTCCTATCTCTGACAGCCATTGGGTGAGTCCTATACAGGTCGTTCCGAAGAAGGGAGGAATGACGGTGATCACCAACGGAAAGAACGAGTTCATTCCAACGAGAACGGTGATCGGTTGGCGCATGTGTATTGATTATCGCAAGCTGAACGCCAACACGAGGAAGGATCATTGTCCACTGCCATTCATCGATCAGATGCTAGAACGCCTCGCTCTACACTCGTACTGTTGCTTCCTCGACGGGTACTCAGGTTTTTTCCAAATCCCTATTCATCCTAATGATCAGGAGAAAACTGCATTTACTTGCCCGTACAGAACTTATGCCAATTGTCGCATGCCGGTTGGATTTTGTAAGCTCCGACGACATTCCAACGGTGCATGTGGCCATATTTTCTGATGTGATTGAAGAGTCGATGGAGGTGTTTATGGACGATTTTTCCGTTCATGGACCCTCCTTCGACATGTGTCTGATGAATCTTTCTCGAGTGTTAGACAAGTGCTCACATGTGAATCTGGTGCTCAACTGGGAGAAGTGTCATTTCATGGTCTGAAAAGGGATTGTTTTGGGCCACAAGATCTCAGAGAAGGGGATTGAGGTTGACAAGGCCAAAGATGAGGTGATCGAGAAACTGCCACCACCGCATAATGTCAGAGCTATCCGCAGTTTCTTGGGCCATGCGGGGTTTTATAGGAGATTCATCAAGGATTTCTCAAAAATCTCAAAGCCGCTCACTGATCTGCTCTGCAAGGACGCGCCGTTTATCTATACTGCAGAATGTGATGTCGCGTTCCAAACTCTGAAAAAGGTCTTGATATCTCCACCGATTATTCAGCCTCCAGACTGGAGTCTTCCTTTTGAGATCATGTGCGACGCCAGTGACTACGCTGTTGGAGCAGTTTTGGGTCAGCAGAAGAACAAGCGATTACATGCCATATACTATGCTAGTCGCACCCTTGATGACGCTCAGATCAACTACAGCACAACCGAGAAGGAGATGCTCGCCATAGTCTACGCTTTCGAAAAGTTTAGATCTTATCTAGTAGGATCGAAGGTGATAGTCTACACTGATCACGCAGCTCTCCGGTACCTTCTGTCCAAGAAAGACGCCAAGCCTCGACTCATGTGCTGCTACAAGAGTTTGATCTAGAGATCAGAGACAGAAAGGAGACTCAAAATGGTGTAGCGGAACATTTAGCATGGCTTGAGATTTCGAACCCATTTCCCATCGATGACTCATTGCGAGACAAGTATGTCATGGTTAATAAATATATATATGTGTGTATACATATTATAGTATATATATATATATATATATATATATATATATATATATATATATAAAGAAAGACCGAACAATCGATAAACAATCGTGCATGTATATATAATATATATATAATAAAAAATAATAAAAAGAGAAAGAAGAGAAGAAGATAACTCTCGCGAGACAAAGCCATCTCCCCCTTTTGTTTTTTAGTGTCCTCGAATGATGTGCGACAACTTTTCAATGAATGGTGAAACTCACACAACAAGGAGAATGACAACCATTTTCTCGGGGATCTCTTCATAAGGAGGGGAGTTCTCAGACAAGGGGGGAGGCAGATTCAGAGATTCGGAAAAAGAGTAGAGTTTGAAAAAGAAAATTCTCAAGGAGAGTTCACGGAGAAGGAGAAGAAAAGAGGAAGAAGAAAAACATCATGCTGCAATCACTGAGCATTCTTTTCTCTTATCTCTTTTTCATCATGAATTTTTATTGGGTTGATGTTGTTATTTTTATTTCTATCATGTGTGAATAAGTTTTCATTGTAGGTTAGGGATTAAAAAGGGTTATGTAAAATTGTGCGCTTAAATTATTTTGAGACTTTGTTAATTACGGTTTAGATTGAATGAATGGATTTTAATGCTATGAATTATGTTGGCCACATAATTAAATGATTTTAGAATTTAATTTTGCATAGAGATATGAACATTAAATTCAGAAATTATTCATTCACTTAAACGATCCTCACATCGAGAGGGTTGCCTCGTTTAGGAATTATGATAGAATACTTAATGATCTTGAGAATTTTAGTTTACTTGGAACCGAGAGTTCGGTAAATTTTTATTCTTGGGAAATGAGGAGATACTCGAAAGAGTAATCCTCTACAAACTGAACTTGAATTTCCTAACCGTAACCTAAGTTATTAAGATACATCATTTGATCAAATTCTTACATAACCCGAAAAATTTCGAAATCTACAATGTCTGTCTTCAATTGTGTTAAACCCGTTGTTAGCATTTTTCATTAATTTAAATATAATTGTCATCACCACCAACCAATTATCGTCTCGACCGATACCGAATAAATAATAGAATTTTCGTTGCAAAAGCCTTCGTGTCCTTCTGTTCGACCCTAGATACTACGATCGACCCGTGCACTTGTGGTAGTTGTGTCTAAGAAATAAAATAAGATTAGATCTTACCCTATATCGACATAAGACTGAAATCAGATTTGGGTTTAATCGGGCTAAAGCTATCACATTTCAAGTCGGGTTTTGAAAGCCCGTTTTCTTTTCTTTTTCTTTTATTAAAAATACAAATGAATGAAAATAAAAAAAGAAACCTTAATCTTAAAACTATCTTCATGTGGGTTTTTATAAAACAATATCTACTTTACAACATTAACTTCAATACATATCCCTAAGAAGAGAGAGAGAACAAAAATAACTTAAGAGAATACATCTATAAATATGTTTTCCCTATAATACTCATTGATGGTGTAAGGATCCGCAACCGCTACGAAATATCAAAACTGTCCTCACACACCAACACGAGACCTTTCAGCATGGTTTGTCCTCACTCACATGTATACCGAGATATTTTCCAGTAGCTCACTCATCATGAGATTGCTCCAAAGTTAGTACATTAATTTTGAAGTTCTCTCGGTATAGTCAAGACTTAACCGAAAAGGTAAGTGCATCTTTTTGCTATGAGTAGTCTTACTAATTTTTTTTATATTATCTTAGACCATATAGTTCCATACCTATATAGCCATCGGATTTCTCTCATTCCGGTGTGTTCGATTTATTTCTGTATCTCTTTGAACTTAGTGGTACTCGGGGAGCCGCTCCTTGACCGTGCCATAAGCACCGGCAAATACTCTCAACCCTCACCATAGCTCGGGATATCACATGTCTAATAGATTTCACATGGTTCGTCCTCGAACCACACCATACTGGGAGAATACAGGCTCTGATACAATTTGTAACGATCCGCAACTGTTACAAAATATCGAAACTGCCCTCATACACAACCACAAGACTTTCCAACGTGCTTTGTCCTCACTCGCATGCATACCGAGATATTTTCCAATAGGTCACCTATCATGAGATTGTTCCAGAGTCAGCACACTTAACTTTTGAGTTTTCTCGTGATAGTCAACTGAAAAGGTAGGTGCACCTTGTTGCTATGAGTAGCTCGACTAATTCTTTTATATTATCTTAGACCTATAGTCTCATACATATATAGCCCTCGGATCTCTCTCATTCCGGTATGTTCGATTCATTCCTATATCCCTTTGGCCTTAGTGGTACTCGGAGAACCGCTCCTTGACCGTGTCATCTGCACCGACAAACACTTCAACCCTCATCATAGCTCTGGATATTACATATGGTAGGACCTATAGATTAGAGATGTCTGAAAACACGACAGAAAATTTGATGGGAAGAGAAAGTAAAGGAATTTTGGGTTTCCTAAAAAAAATTAAATATTTTAAAAATTTTAAAATTCTCTCCATTACAAAAAATTTAAAGGGAGAATCCCATATAAGTACCCAAACTCTACGAAATGTGACAAATAAGTATCCAAACTTATAATTGTGTCTAATCAGTGCCTCAACTATTATATTGTGCCAAATTAGTATCCAAACTCGTGAAATTGATGTCAATTCCCAATTTTACACCTAACGACGTTTATTGTCACGTTTTCTGTTAATTTTTTGCTGAGTTGGACGACACGTCAGTAATCCTTTATCACGTAGGATTTACAAACTCCGGTTAACATTATATTTCGGTTATTTACACGCCTTAACCGATCCAATCAAATGATTTAAAATTGGTCACAAAATAAAACACTCACAAATTACCCATTGAAAATTAGGGTTCAGGTTTTACTATTTCACTATTTTTACCTCTCACGATTTATCTAGATTCTCACTCTCAATCGGAGACAACAATCCTTTCGCGGGCGACGACAACCATTTTCGCCGGTGACAAGAATCCTTTCGCCGGTGGCGACAACCATTTTCGCCGGTGACAACAACCAATTCCATCAATTTATCCCCCCCTAAATCGTGGTAGTCAAGTTCTGTATCGCGATTTCTAGGGTTCACTATCGATTTATTTCGGCACTAGCATAGTTCTGTTCATTTTGGATTTCGGGGATTGCTACTCGATTTCTATTATATATTCAGTCGGTTTTGTGGGAGATTTTGGCGCATACCCTTAGTTTTCGGTTTATTGCAGAGAATCTTCGGTGTTCAAGGCTGTGAGATTTCGATTCCAAGAATCTTCGATGTTCAAGGCTGCAAGATTTCGATTCCGACACAGTGAGAAATCAACGACGGTGACGAGGGAAGAAAAGTGCAGGGAGAGAGTACTGGGTGAGGGAGAGTCAGAAAGATTATGATCTGAAAGAGAGATGGACGATGGTATCGGTGAGAGAGAGGTGGTAGGAGATAAGGTGAGAGTTAAAGTAAAAGATAGAAACCCTAATTTTAATTTAGGGATTTTTTTGGGAAACGGTTTTGTTGGTTTAATGGTACTGTTAACCGGTTAAGTTTATATCATTCTAACGTATACAAACTGATGATGTGTCATGCCACGTTGCAGGTTGTATAACGAAAAATATTTATAACAGACGTCATTAGGTGTAAAATTGGGAATTGACATCAATTTCACGAGTTTGGACTCTAATTTGGCACAATATTTGAGGCACTGATTAGATACAATTATAAGTTCTAGAACTTATTTGGCATATTTCGAAGGGTTTGGGTACTTATATGGGATTCTCCCAAATTTAAATTTTTTTAGGAATTTTAAAAATTTTCGGTATGACTAGTATGGCCAGTATGAGCATAATTGAATTTCGAACGGTGTGACCAATTTAGCCAATGTGACCAGAGTAAGTGGTGTGACCAGTTTAACTCGTGTGATCATAGTTTAATATTAAGTGGTATGACTAATGTGACTCGTGTGACCAGAGTTTAATATTAAGTGGTGTGACCCGTGTGACCAGTGTGATTCGTGTGAGCATAATTGAATTTTGAATAGTGTGATCGGTGTGAACAGTGTGACCAAAATTCAATTTTGAACGGTGTGACCAGTGAGATATTTTGAACGATGTGACTAGTGTGATGTACCTTTATTTCGTTGCCAATCTATTTCATTAATGCCCTGAAAATCCATTTGGAATTAGAGATACACTTTTTGCACATTCTTGGACGGTTTTTGTAACGACCCGAGGCCGCTACGGAATGATAGAGTTGTCCTCACACACCAACACGGGACCTTTTAGCGTGTTTTATCCTCACTCACACACATCCCGAAAAGTACTTCCCAGGAGATCACCCATCCTAATACTACTCCAAAGCAAGCACGCTTAACTTTGGAGTTCTCTCGAGATGGGTAACCGAAAAGGTAGATAGCTCAATTAATTCATTTAAGTTATCTTAGACTGTATAGTTTCATATCTACACAGCCCTTGGATCCCTCTCATTCTGGTGTATCCGATTCATCCATGTACCACTTACCAGAAGCTCGTCAGGAGCCGCTCATTGTCCATGCCTCTCGCACCATCGAGCACTCTCCACCCTCCTACGGTATCTTGAGCTGTCACAGGCCCATCAACTTCCACCTGATTCATCCTCAAACCACACCGTACTAGGAGAGAACCGGCTCTAATACCATTTGGATTGACCCGAGACTGCTACAGAATGATAGAGTTGTCTCCACACAGCAACACGAGACCTTTCATTCATTGAATCAATTTCATGTACTACCAAAATTACCTTCGGTTCTTGTTATTTGTTATGTTTTTCGCTAATGCATGAACGACAGATGAGGTCGTAGGTGAAGATGTGTTCGATGGAAAAATTATTTTTGTTTGTTTTTCCGTGTGTAGAAATGAGAGGTAAGATGAGATAAAAAAAAAAAAAAAAGAGAGAGATGAGAAAGAGAGAAGAGTTGAAAGAGAAAGAATTAACAAATTTTGAAATTTTGTTTCAAAATGGCTAAGTTAGTGGGACAGTAGAAAAATAATCTGATATTGTTTTATGATCTGCTACATTTCTTTTTCTAGAATGTTATTTATGTTTTTTGCTCATTCTAGTTTTTTGCCCCCAAAACTTTGGGTTTTGAGGGGTAACGTGAAGTTAATATAGCATTTTAAGAGTAGTTTTGTTATTTATTCCCTCTATCTTCTTTCTTCACCCACGACGACCACCACCCCTCGCTCTCTCTGCCTTTCATCTCGTCGACCCTGCCTCCATCCACACCGGTAAGTCCCGACATTGTTCCATGCTTGTCCATCAATGCACGACACCAGAGCAATCAAACTAGCTAGAAATAGGTGAAGAAAAATCCTATTTATGAATAAACAGAACAAGGTTGATCGAAAACCCTACTTCGGCGAGAATAGTGCCGAGAGGAGGAAGAAGATAGATGAGAAAAATAATTCTCTGTATGTTTTATTATTTGTTCTGTACACAATAAATAGGAAATACATATGTGCATGTTAAAGGAAATCTAGATATTATATACATAAATAATGGAAAGAATAGCTAAACAATAGGAAAGGTCAAGATATGAGACAATCACTATAATATTGATTTGCATGATTCAAGCTTACGTGAATGCAAGCTCCTGTCTCGGTCTTGACCGTTGCTAAGCTTTCCCAGACCTGTTGCTTCTTCGTCAAGATTCCCCCTCAAGCTTGGTTTGTGAAGATCCGCAACACCAAGCTTGACGAGAATATTTTCATCGTTTCTCACATTCGGTGCCTTGGTAAACAAGTCAGCTAGT